ACATCTCGGCCTCCAACTTTTTTCACGTTGCATGACGGCCTCACCTGCGCGAGAAAAAAAAGGAGGAGGATTGCAGAGGGAGGGGGGGGGGGAGGAGGGGGGGAGAAGGAAGAGGAGGAGGAGGAGGAGGAGGAAGAGGAGGAGGAGGAGGAGGAGGAGGAGGAGGAGGAGGAGGGGAAAGGAGGAGGAGGAGGAGGAGGGGGAGGGGGGGGAGAGGAGGAGGAGGGAGGAGGAAGGGGAGAAGGTGGAGGGGGAGGAAGAGGAGGCCGAGGAGGAGGAGGAGGAGGAAGGGGAGGGGGAAGAGGAGGAGGAGCAGCATGAGGAGGAGGAGGATGAGGAGGAGGAAAAGGAGGAAGGAGGATGAGGAAGTTTACGGGATTAGGACGGGGGAGGAGGAGGGGGAGGAGGAGGAGGAGGAGGAAGTTGACAGGGGGGAAGAAGAAAAATAAACGCTCCCTCGTGTAACCTTTGTCACAGCGACCACCAGGTCCTTGTGTGATATGATGCCCTGCTGGTCCAGGTGCGCATCCTGCGTGTCCTCTGAAAACTTGATGAAGTTCGCATTCGTGGCAAATGGTTGGATCGCGAGATATAGGCCCTCGTCTAGCTTAATGGACATCGCGTCTGAAACTCTTGAGCCAAAACCGCTACGGAAACGTGATAGGTCGGGGGCCCGCGTTCGTCGTTGTGTTTGGGTTTCAGGGGGGGCGTCAGCGAAGCCCGTGATTGAATCGGCGATGCATCGATCACACAACACTCGTCGTAGACATCGACGTCGACGCCGACGTCGACGACGAGGTCGACGACGACGTCGACGGCGAGGGGGGCCCGCACAACGCGGCACAGGAGACCCCGCGCGCGAGGTCGAGGAGGATGATGATTTTGGGCGAAGGGGGAACATATGAAGTCTTACGCGGGGGGGGCCAACGTCGACTCGAACGGTAATCTCGTCACCCCTCGACCTATAACTTGCAGGCTTCAGCCGCGTTCGCCGCCGGACCCCATCAGGCGGAAGATGCGGGGCCAGGGGGGAGGAGGAGAAGGAGGAGGAGGAGGAGGAGGACCAGCAGCAGCAGCAGCAGGAGGAGGAGGATGAGGAGGAGGACGAGGACGAGGAGGAGACGGTGGAGAAAGCAGCGGAGGGGCGGGGGGGAGATCAGGAAGAGGTGGGAAGAGGTGCGGGGAGCGCAGGTTGACGAGAGAAGCAGATGAGGAGGGGGAGGAGGAAAGGGAGGAGGAGGTGGACGAGAAGGAAGGCGAAGGGTGGTAAGGAGGAAGACGACGAGCCTGAGTGAGGGGATGAGGCGACGGAGGAAGATGAGGAAGATGACGAGGGATCCAGAGAGAGGAAGGGCGACCCAGAGTTGGATGCGGGGCAGATCTTACTTACAGTTGAGGTCGGGGTGCCCGCGAAAAAATACAATGAGGAGGACGGTGGTAATATGTGGAGGAGGGGGAATTAGGGTGATGAGAGGATGAGCATCAAGGAAAAACGATGAGTAGAACGGGGCAAGGGTCTCGAGGCCTCTTGAGCCCGAAGGGGCCTCCCGTGGAGCCCGTCACCACTCTCAGCAAAGAGCCCTCGTAATCCTCATCCTCATCCGCGTGAATCCTTGGTCTTACCTCCTTCCTCCTCCAGCCTCCTCCAGCCTTGACCTCCTCATTTTTCCTCGTCTTATCCTCCTTCCTCTCGTCAGCCTCCCCTCGTCTACTCATGGCGGGCGTCTGTCCTCGTACACATCCCACTTCTGCGCCGCCCACGCCATCTTGAGCCGCTTCTTCTCGGCCCTGTCTGCCTCGTCGAAGGCCCGCTGCTCGTCCTGCCGCTTATCCAAATATCGCCTGAACCGTGCGCCCATGGCGGAGTCCATGGGGAAGTTGAAGCCAGCCTGGAAACAGTTCTCGAGGACCTTGTCTGGCTTGAATTTGGACTCCTCGTCGTCGCCTCCGAAATCGGCAGTCTTGCCGTCGCGCTTCTGGTCGGACATCTCGTTCGTCAGCATGGCCTCGAGCATGCTCATACCTCCGTCTTTGCTGCCGCTCTCGACCATGGCCAACGCCAGCTCCTCCTGGGCGTCGCTCTTGGCGAAGTCGGGCAACTCCTTGTCCGGCATCTGCGACAGCAGCTCCATGTCATTCCCTCGGGGTGTAGCCTGAGGTTCAGGAGGTGCGACGGCACGGGTGTCGGGCGGTGCCGCGCTGGGCGCGGCGGCGGGCGCTGCCGCGCTGGGCACGGCGGCGGACGCTGCCGCGCTGGGCACGGCGGCGGGCGAGGCCGCGCGCTCTTGGTCAGCAGGAGTCTGGAGCGGCGGCGTCGGCACCAAGGCCCTCGCCGCGCCCTCTGCATGTGCAGGCGGGCGCGGCGTCGGCGACAACAGCGGCGGCCTGGATGCCTCGCCAGCGCCTGGAGGCGCGGGTGGCGTCGGCGCCTCGGCGCCCTCTCCACGTGAGAGCTCACGTGTTTTAGCTCTCTTATTCGCCCTCTCCTCCAGCTTTGCGTCGTACGACTCGGTCCAGCGGTCCTGCTGCTGCGACTCCTCCGTGTCCGAGGCGCCCACCTCGACCCCCTTGTTCGTGCTCGGCGCCCCTGCCACGGTGAGCAGCTCATCGAGGGGGACATCGTCGGGGAGCGTGGCGGCATCGAAGATGGACGGCGGCTGGACCTCTCGTTGCTCAGCACCTGCTTGCGCCTCGCTCCAGGCGCCATGGCGCCTTGATGGGGACGGCGCGGGGGAGGCCTCTGGCATTTCCTCGTCGGCCGAGTCCGTAGTATCAACGTCGATCGGCTTTTGCTTGACAGGCTCTGCGTCAGGCATCCAATACTCCATGCGGATCTCGCCCGTCTTCCTGTCCTGGCCCCAGTTGATGATCTGCGCGCCCGTCTTCCTGAACGCCTCTAGATCGCCCTTGCTGCGGAGCATGCACGTTCTATGCGCCATCTCCGTGGTAGGTGTCGCACGCGAAAATTGCCGAACTACTAGCGAGCCAGACTATACTTGAGCCAGAGAGGCTACGTGTTTGCGTTTATTGTTTGGTTGTTTGTTGTTTGTTTGTTTGAGAGGCTACGTGTTTGCTGTTTGAGAGCCCTCGCCCGATTTTAAATCGCTATATAGTCGCCCATGCGAATCTACGTCCGCTGCGCGGATCTCTCGAGAGACGAATGCGGAGGGGGGGGATCTACGATAAACCGAGCGCGAGGGGTGGAAAAGGTCAGAAATTGTCGAGGACGTCTCACGCGGGAACACCGAATGCTTATATCGATATAAGATAAGTTGTGTGAGCTATATACTATAATTTATCGGGTTGGAAAATAACTATTCAACAGCGCATCCAGAATCTAGAGTAAAGCTACAACTTGGGGGGATCATCCAGAATCTGGAGTCATGGAATGGTTTCGGATGATCATCCGGAATCGAGATGAACAAGACCTCTGGGAAACGGAATAATAATAACGAAATTGATAGTACTCGTAACAATGGTATTCGTAGTACGAGCCGTAGTAGTAGTAGCAGCACAAATATTAACAGTCGCATTAATTTTCACAGTCGTAGTATCGCTAGTAGTAAAGTGGTTTTCGCAGTCGTAGTAGTAGTAGTAGTTGTTGTCGTCGTTGTAAATGCTGTTGCAATAATAACAATAATACCAACAGACCCGTCCGTTTGCCCAGACGGCTGCGGCGTCGTCTTCTTTGTTACCCGTGATGCGTACTCTTCTGTTAAATGTTGTCATGGTGTGCGTTGCTGTTTGAGCGTTCCCCTGTACTCGTCACTTTCTGTCGCTTTCCTTCCTTCGATATCCTCCCCCTGGGGCCCATGGGAGGGGGCCAGAAAACCAAGACACTGAGAAAACCTGGCCAAGCGCTGTTTTTTTTCTAATGTGTCTGGTCTGGGGGCTCAAAAAAGCTGGTCAAGTTTTTTTGTTGCTGATGATCCTGGGCTGGGGGCCCGCAAAACCTGGCCAGGCGTTTTTTTTGTTTGGTTTGCCTGGTCTGGGAGCCCACGAAACCGACCCTGGAGGTATGGGGACTTGCGAACTACTGCCGTCAGATCAGAAAAAGCAAAACAACAGCAATGCCCGGCCAAGTTTTGTGAGCCCCCAGGCCTGCAAAAACCACAAAAAAAAACAACGCCTGGCCAAGTTTTGTGGGCTCCCAGACCAGACCCCCCCCCAAAAAAAAAAACACGCCCGGCCACGTTTTCTAAGCTCCCAGACCAGAAAAGCCAGAAGAGCGAACCCCTGGCCAGGTGTTCTGAGTACCTGCAACAAAAACAACGCCTGGCCAGGTTTTCTGAGCTCCCAGGCAAAAGAAAAGAGAGAAACAACAGCGTCTGGGCAGGTTATCGGGAGCTCGCAGGCGCAATGTTTCCTGTGTGTCGGAAGCGCAATCTTTCCTCTCTGTCGGAAGCGCAATGTTTCCTCTTTGTCAGAAGCGCCAGGCTTCATGTTTGGTTGAACGCAGTGTTTTGGATTCATCGAGGCGCAATGCTTCGTCATCGTCGGAAGCGCAATGCTCTGGACCCGCCGAAGCGCAAGGCTTCGTGCTTGTCGGAAGCGCAATGTTTCCTCCTCGTCGAAAGCGCAATGCTTCCTCCCTGTCGGAAGCGCAATGTTTCCTCCTCGTCGGAAGCGCAATGTTTCCACTCTGTCGAAAGCGCATCCTCCTCGTCGGAACGCAACGCTCTGGACCCGTCGAAGCGCAAGGCTTCGTGCTTGTCGGAAGCGCAATGTTTCCTCCTCGTCGGAATCGCAATGCGTCCTCTCTGTCGGAAGCGCAGCGTTTCCTTCTCGTCGGAAGCGCAATGTTTCCTCTCTGTCGGAAGCGCAATGTTTCCTCCTCGTCAAAAGCGCAAGGCTTCATGTCTGGCGGGACGCAGTGTTTCGAAGCCATCGAAGCGCAATGCTTCGTCCCCGGCGGAACAGTAACGCTTCCGTAGCTTTCCGCGTGGTCGAGCACTTCCCTCTTCGCTCCTGCACCCTCCACCTAAACCCGCGCCCTCGCCATGCTCGCCCTGACGGGTTACGCGGCCAAGACCCAGCACCCCGCGAAGGCGAGCACAGGCTGCGCCAACCCGGACATGACCGCCGCTTCCGGCCACTACGCTGTCATGCTCGACGGCGTCAGCGGCGCCCCGCCGCCAATGACCCCCGAGGGTCTGGCGCGGGACATGCGCCGTCACGAGGCTGCTGAAAAGCAAGCTGGCGCGGAAGACGGCTGCCATGTTGCGCCGCCACTGCCGCGACAAAACCTCAGCTGTCCAGGAGACGAAGCTGCACTTGAAGCTCGCGGCGGGGGGTAATAGCGCCGAATCGCTGCAGGAACACATCAAAAACACATTGCGCCGAGTCGGCAATGTGGGCCGCCACAACGCCGCCGAGCTCAAGAAAGCCGTGCAGACATTGTCTGGCGCTGCCTTGCTGAGGCGGGCGGGTCTAGCGAGCGTGCTTGATGCGCTGCGTCGGTACAGGGTTAGGTGCAGTAGCGGCGCAGCGCAGATGGCGCCGAAGGACTGCTTCCGCGCGGGATTGTGCAAATGGGCCCAGGCCTAAATAATCCTCTCGTGTGTCAGCTAGCTGCATGTGCGTTTTGCCGTAGATGCAGTTGCCGCCTCGGCATCAGATCGCGCGCGAATGGGGCGCGTGCAACAGAAAAACAGTGCGCCCTCCTTTCACATACCCACCCCATCTCTATTGTCTTGGTGCGCGTGCATGATCTTTCTGATTCGTGTGAATTGACGGCGTCGCGCACGACGCGCGTCTGGGGGTTGAGAAGAGGAGAACAAGGCGGACGAGGAGGGGGATAATCAGGAAAAGAAAAGGGATGAAGAGGAGGACCAGAGAGAGGATGAGGAAAAGAAGAGGGGGCGAAGAGGAGGACGATGCCCCCTCAGTCTGGGCAAACGGAGGGGTCTGGTCGCCAGGAAAGTGAGATTACTACCCGAAGAAGTTACAATAGTAGTAGTAGTAGTCGTCGTAGTAGTAGTAGTAGTAGTCGTCGTCGTCGTCGTAGTAGTAGGAGTAGTAGTAGTGGTAGTAGTAGTAGCAGCAGTGGTAGTAGTAGTAGTAGTAGTAGTAGTAGTAGTAGTAGCAGTAGTAGTAGTAGTAGTAGTAGTAGTAGTGGTAGTCGAGATCGTAGTAATCGAAGTCGTAGCCGTTGTAGTCGCAGGAGTCGTCGTCGTAGTAGTAGTAGTAGTAGTAGTAGCAGTAGTAGAAATAGTAGTAGTCGTAGTAGTGGTAGTAGACGTAGTAGCAAGACTAGTAATGTTAGTAGTTCTGGTCGTAGTAGTCGTCCGTGGTGGTAGTAGTGGTCGTGATAACACTACTAGTAGGCATGACTGTAGCAGAACTGTTAACAGTAGTGCTAGTATGAATAGTAGTAGCAGTAGTAGCACGAGCAGCAGTAGTCGTAGTAGTAGTAGTAGTAGTAGTAGTAGTAGTAGTAGTAGTAGTAGTAGTAGTAGTAGTAGTAGTAGTGGTAGTGGTAGTAGTAGTAGTAGTAGTAGTAGTAGTAGTAGTACTAGTAGTAGTAGTAGTAGTAGTAGTAGTAGTAGTAGTAGTAGTAGGGGTAGGCACCGTACTACGAATCAGACTGATCGGATCACATGCCGCATTTGTGGCCGTAGGGGTGGTAGCCGCAGTATGGTCGGAGGGGTTCCTGTGGCCTCAATGGCAGAAGTGAGAAATGTGGGGCAGTAGTGGAAGCAAAATCAGGTGTCGCGGTGGTGATAGCTGTACTAACGGTGATGTCCGTAACACCAATCGCCTGAATAGTGGGAATGTGATGGATGTGATCGTAGTCGCAGGAGCAATCATAATAATGATCGCCGTAGCCGTAGTAGTGATAGTAAGCGCAGTAGTAGTGGCATTGGCCTGTATCAAAGACGATGATAGTATAAGTCGTACGACCATACCAACTACTACTAATGCTCCTACTACTACTACTGCTACTGCTACGGCTACTACTATTACGACTAGTGTTAGCACTAGCCTTGGCAGTAGTAGTAGAAGTAGAAGGGTAGTAGCAGTAGTAGTAGTAGTAGTAGTAGTAATAGTCGTAGTCGTAGTCGTAGTCGTAGTAGTAGTAGTAGTAGTAGTAGTAGTAGTAGTAGTAGTAGTAGTAGTAGTAGTAATAGTAGTAACAGTAGTAGTAGCAGTAGTAGTAGCAGTAGTAGTAGTAGTAGTAGAAGTAGTCGACGTAGTAGTAGTGATGGTGGTAGTAGTAGTAGTAGTAGCAGTAGTAGTAGTAGTCGTAGTAGTAGTAGTAGTACTCGTAGCAGTACCAGTAGTAGTAGTAGTAGTAGTACTACTACTACTACCACTACTAATAAGAATACGGGTAGCCATAGTAATCGTAACCGTAATCATGGTAGTAGTAGCAGTAGTCGGAGTAGTCGTGGTAGTACGAATCATATTGATCGACATAATAATAACGTAACACTAGTAGTAGTCGTAGCATTGTTTGTACAAGAGGTAGTGCAAGCTGCAGTCGAGGTAATCCTAATAGTGGTGGTAGTAGTGGTGGTCGCATTCATAGTAATAGTCGTCGTAGTAGTCGTAGTAGTAGTAGTAGTAGTAGCAGTAGTAGTAGTAGTAGTAGTAGTAGTGGTAGTAGTAAGTGATAAGACTCGTAGCAATAGAAGTAAAAGTGGTAGTAGTTGCTGCCATGGTCATAGGAATAATAATAGTGGTGCAAATAGTAGTAGTAGTAGTAGTAGTAGTAGTAGTAGTAGTAGCAGTAGCAGTAGTAGTAGTAGTAGTAGTAGTAGTAGTAGTAGTAGGAGTAGTAGTAGTAGTAGTCGTCGTCGTCGTAGTAGTAGTAGTCGTAGTAGTAGTAGTATTAGTAGCAGTAGCAGTAGTAGTAGTAGTAGTAGTAGTAGTAGTAGTAGTAGTAGTACAAGTAATAGTAGTCGTGGGAAGAAAAAGAAGTAGTAGCGGTAGTAGTACTTGTGGTAGCCATGATATTTATGGTATTCGCAATACTCTGGGTCTGGATGCCACTAGGAACCGTCGGCGAACTCGTATGAACAATACAGGTAGCATTCGTTGCGCTGCGGTCCCAGTTGTCGGGGAAGTACGGGTGCTACTAATGGCTGGCGTGCTCGTGGAAGCAATAGTCGTAGTAGTAGTCGTAATCATAACAATACTGGAAGTAGTAGTAGGGATCGTAGTAGTAGTAGCCGGATCAGGAGATAGTAGTAGTAGTAATAATAGTAGTAGTAGAAGTAGTAGTAATAGTAGTAATCGTAGTAGTAATGGTGGTAGTCGGCGCAGTAAGAATAGTAATCGCAGTAGTCGTAGAAATAGTAGCAATAGCAGTAATAGTGGGATTACTAGTAAGACGAATAATGACAAACGTCGTGGTAGTAGTAACGGTATTGGTAGTACCGGTAGAAGTAGTAGCTGTAGTCGTCGTGGTAGTAGGAGTCGTAGGAGTAGTACCTCTAGTAGTAGTCGTAGTAGTAGTAGTCGTAGTAGTAGTAGTAGTAGTCGTCGTAGTAGTGGTAGCAGTAGAAGAAGTAGCAGTAGTAACATTTACGAGTAGCAGTATTGATATTAGTAGTGGTAGTAGTGGAGGTCGTACTAGTAGTGATGGGAGTTTTAGCAATGGCAGTAGCAGCAGTGTGCGTAGTAGCAGTAGTAGTAATAATAGTAGCGGTAGTAGTAGTAGTAGTAGTAGTAGTCGTAGTAGTAGTAGTAGTAGTAGTAGCAGTAGCAGTAGTAGCAGTAGTAGTAGTAGTAGTAGTAATAGTAGTAGTAGTAATAATAATCGTAGTACGCGGAGTCGCCGTAAAAGTTGTAGTAGTAGTAGTAGTAGTTGCAGCAGCAGCAGTAGTAGGAGTAGTAATAACAATAGCGGTGGTAGTAGTAAGGATGGTCCTTGTAACACTCATAAGTGTAGCATGAGTTGTAGTTAAAGCAGCAGTAGTCGTCGTCGCAGTAGTAGTAATGGCAGTAGCAGTAGTAGCCTCGGAGGTAGTAGTAGTAGTAGTCGTCGTAGTAGTAGTAGTAGTACTACTACCACTAGTACTAGTAGTACTAGTAGTAGTAGTAGTAGTAGCAGTAGTAGTAGTAGTAGTAGTAGTAGTAGTCGTAGTAGTAGTAGTAGTAGTAGTAGTCGTAGTAGTAGTAGTAGTAGTAGTAGTAGTAATAGTAGTAGTAGTAGTAGTGGTCGTGGTAATAGTAAATGTGATAATCATCAAACTAGTAGCAGTAGTGGTTGTGGTTGTTGTGGTAAAGGTGCTAGTGGTAATAGTAGTAGTAGTAGTAGTAGTAGTAGTGGTGGTAGTAGTAGTAGTAGTAGAAGTTGTTGTAGTAGTAGTAGTGGTACTCGTCGTCGTCGTAGTAGTAGTAGTAGTGAAAGTCGTAGTGGTAGTACTACTCGTAGTAGTAGCAGTAGCAGTAGTAGTAGTAGTAGTAGTAGTAGTAGTAGTAGTGCGAGTACTAGTAGGAGTAGTTGTTGTTGTAGTAGTAGTAGTAGTAGTAGTAGTAAGACCAGTTGTGATCGTGGTAATAGTAGTAGTAGTAGCAGTAGCAGTAGTAGTAGTAGTAGTAGTAGTATGAGTAGTAGTGGTAGTAGTCGTAGAAAATTAAGTAGTAGTACTAGTAGTAGTGATGGTAGTAGTAGTATTAGTAATAATAGTAATAGTAGTAGTAGTAGTAGTAGTAGTAGTAGTAGTAGTAGTAGTAGTAGTAGTAGTAGTAGTAGTAGTAGTAGTAGTAGTAGTAGTCGTAGTAGTAGTAGTAATGGTGGCAGCAGTAGTAGTAGTAGTGGTGGTAGTAGTAGTAGTAGTAGTAGTAGTAGTGGTTGTAGTCGTAGTAGTAGTCGTAGTAGTAGTAGTAGTAAGAGTAGTAGTAGTAGTAGTAGTAGTAGTAGTAGTAGTAGTAGTAGTAGTAGTAGTAGTCGTAGTAGTAGTCGTAATCGTGGTAGTAGTAGCAATAGTAGTAGTAATAATAATAGTAGTAGTACTATCCCTCGTAGTCGTAGTCGTATAGATATTAATAACAAGACTGTTGATCGCATTCGTCCAGAAGCCCTTCTGAGGCCATCCAGATGCCCGTTTTGGGGGACCTTCTGAGGCTCTTGTGAAGCCTTTGAAAAGATCTTCAGAAACTGTCCCAAAACTCTTCGAAACAAAAACTCTCGAAGGCTTCGGAGAAGATCTCACAAACTCTTCAAAGGTTTGCGAAGGCACTGCAGAGTGTCCCGAAAGCTTTTTCAACATTCTCTTTTTCAAACAAAACCTCTGCAAGGGCCTTCGGAAGCTCTTCAGAGGCTCTGGGAAGATGTCCAGAAGATCTTCAGCAGCTCTGAAGAAAAAAACACTACAGAGGCTCTGGGGATGCTAGTCAAAAAGGCTCTCAGAAGCGCTGGACCGAAACTCCAACGCTCTTCAGAAGTCTCTGCAGAAGCTCTCCAAAGCTCTTGAACAGCTCTTCAGAGGCTCTCAGCCAATCTTCAACAACTGTCACGAGGCTCGGAACAACTGTTCAGAGGCTCGCCAGAGGCTCTGCGAAGCAAATCTTCCCAGGCCCTCCGGAGGCTATGCAACAAAGGCTCTTCAGAGGCTCTGCAACAAAGGCTCTTCCGAGGCTCCCCAGAGGCTTCAAGAAGGCTCATCAAAGGCTCTCTAGCAGCTCTGGGGAGGCTCATCACGGGCTCTGCGAGGAGGGCTTCCAAGGCTGCTTCGCTTGTCGTCCGAGCTTCAGGGGACGCGGGGGCTCTGCTGGGAAGTGGGCCCTTCTGCCGGGCAGCGAACCTTTGCGTGGGGGAACGAAGAACGAACCCTTTCTGCCGGGAAGCTCCTCCGTCCTCCCTCCTCCCTCCTCCCTCCTCCCTCCTCCTCCCTCCTCCTCCCTCCTTCCTCCTCCTCCTCCGCCTCCTCCTCCCTCCTTCTCCCCTGGCATGCGCCGTCCTGAAGCCCAAGGCAGCGACGACGGGCCGCCCCATCGCCGCCTGCCCTCCAGCACGCTGGACCCCCCCCTCCGATCAGGAGCACGGCACCCGCAGAGACAACGCGCCACCTGGACATGCAGAGACACGACCGAATGACCGCGCCAAAGACCACGCTTGCGCCAACTCTCAACAATCGGCGCCTCGTAGCCGTCCTCGTGGATGCACGTGGAGACCTCTCGTCGTCGTCGTCGACCTCGACCTTGTCCTCGTCGTCGTCGTCGTCGTCGTCGTCGTAGTAGTCGTCGTAGTCGTTCTACTCCTCGTCGTTGTCGCCGTCGTCGTCCTACTCCTCCTCGTCGACGCCGTCGTCCTGGATGAGTCCATCCCGGTGATCGGCCCATCCTCGCGCTCTCGCGTCTCGGGCGGGCGGCAATGGGGGGTGAACCCCATGGGGGGTGAAGAAAAAAACCTCAAGGGGCACTTCAGGGCCTCTTTGGGGCACTAGCTGGCCTCAAAAGGGGCCCTACAGGGCCCCTGTAGGGCCCTTTGCTTCACCCCCCACTTGGGCCACCTCCCATCACGGCAGATTCGCGCCGTGTCGACCCCGGCGTTGGTCCCTAACACAGCGGGGATCGTTCAAACTTCAACGATCGGCCGTTCCACTAACGCCGGAACGTTCCACGACGGGCCGATTCTGGGCCCTGGTCGACACGACGCGAACTTGGTGTAATGGAGGATGACGATTAATAAATGACTGGGGGTCGTGTTCACGCGGCGGCGCCCGGGATGACGATTAGAAAAAAACCGGCCGCGGGCTGGAAAACTATGTTTTTAATCGTTCTCCTCCAGTCAGAAAATTGTGCAGAAATAGCAGAGAACTATTGTTTTAAGCGTTCTCTCCAATTTTTTTTAGTAATCGTCATCCCGCATTACCACCCGCATTCGGCGGTGGACAAACCTCCCTTTAGTAAACCTCCCCTTAGTGAAAAACGACTGGGACCGACACCGACGGACCTGGACCCGCAAAAATGACGGCCGCGACGCCCCCTCGCGAACCGAAAACGGCCAATTCCTTAATCGACGTGTCAGGGTAGGAGGTCTGTCCAACCCCGAAGCCTGGTGCACCACCCGCCCCAGCGCCCCCCTCCCCGGGAGGCCGACAGCTCTCCGGGCACGGACACTGCGAAAGTCACTCTGCCCGGCGCGCCCCGGCGGGCGGCCTCTCTCTCTATGCGGCCCCTCTTCTCTGGGGGGGTCCAGCAGCATGCTACACTCGGGGCGTTGACCTAAGGAACCCTAAATAAGGAACGAGGCTTCTTTTCCCCATCAGTGAAAGTTCGATTTCCCATCGAAAACCTGAGGAAAACCTAGGGCAAGCTGTGAAACACTTAAGGAACGCGGAGCCCCTCCCCAACGAAAAGGTTTCCTTCTTCAGGGCCCCGACTGTACAGGCGAATGTTCCAAAAAGTCAAGGCATGTTCAAAACACATCCAAACAATACAAAGTCGTTCCTGAGTATTGTTGTTGACCCGCCTTTCCTGCCACAGCCAAGAAGTGGTGGATGTCATGGCAATGGACACTCCAACAGCCCTACCGTGGAGGAAAACATTTCGCGCGAAACTGATTCGTAACGTAGGCATGTTGCCACTCAAAGTCCGCGAGTTCCACGCTGGGCACGCTCCGCGGCCGCCGCGGAAAATATAGAACAGAAGCGCGAATCACAAGTGCAATTTTTGAGCCCAAGATTGTCGCGGCCCGGACTGCGCTTTTTCTTTTAAGGGCGGAATTCCAAATTTAGGATTCGGTTGCGCGTTGAATTCTCACATCCACGACATCACCGAATTCTAAGTATTGCTATGTTTGAAGCTGTGCCAAACATGTCTCCAACATGATTTTACATGGTAGCGCATGTTTAAAACAAGTGTCAGACATCTGGTAACTATGTGCGTTCCACAACCAAAGAAAGACTGGGCCTTCGGACACAAACGAAAGAACAGCACGCTGACGGACCCAAAACGGTAGCATGAGGGATACGGGTCCTGAGGGAAACGGGTCCTGGACCCTGACGAGACCTTCACCCTGAGTCGATTTCTGACACTCCTGGGGCCCGTGGAGAATACCGAAAACCCGAAGACGGCTAAAAAACTCAGGACCCGTTTCCTTCAGGACCCGTTTCCCCCTGGCGAAGACGGCGGCGTGTCATTGATGCTCGTTTGCCCGCCCGGAATTGCGGAGGCCGCGCGAGTGGATACATGTCCTTCTCTGGGGGCGAGCCCGCGCTCCGGGCATAGCTCGAACCACCTCAGGAGCCATAGCTCGACGAAAACTTCTAACTGGAAGGGGCTTTGCTCTATCGAGTGGGCTGTATTGGCTCCGAAACCGACGACGAAACAGCAATGGGCGCGCGGCGTCACCCCCCTTCTCTCGGCCATTGGGCGTCAACTAGCACATGGACTAAGAGAGAAGCTAGTGTATGGAAAGATATGGCTGGCTGACAGTGTGCCAGAGCAGCGGGATCCGATGCAATACTGAATCCCCTTGACGTGCAAACGGCAGCGGGCAAAAACTCCAGTCCGAGAGAAGACACATGCAACATATGTCCTGCTTGTTAGATCAAGATTCGTAGGCGCATGTTTCACACCAGTGCCCAGAAATGCACTACTGTGCACCTCTGTCGTGCTGAAATCCTCACTGTCCAATGTCGCGCTCCATCTTATGGCCCCAATTCCCTTCGCTGCCGGGCCGATTGGCAGGAAAGTCCAGGTCACACCTGGCTGCGACCAATTGATGGACATCGGTGTCAAAGTCGATGGCGTCATGGGCAGATATGGCCCAGACGCACCTCTTAGTGTCGGGGCCGCGCGCTCGGCGGCATGGCGCAACGCAGGTCAAGCGGAATAGCGCGGGCCACGCCAGCTCACGCAGCGCACACTTTTTGGCGACCGCGCGCAGCGGCGAGGCCGAGAAACACCCCAAGCGACCCGAGCGCGCGCGCAGCCGGCTCCCCAACAAAAGGGGCAACTACGCACACACGGAAACACACACACACACACACACTCCCACCATGTCACCATGTCGGTTCTTACTCTGCACGATTTCTCTTGAACCCAACACCGTGAGGGACGTACTGCAAGCTGGTCCATCGTGCTGATGTCAGTGCTGATGTCTTCGGTCATGGCCACTTCTAAATGGGCACAAGGAGAAGCAACAATCCTGCAGACCTTGTCGTTGACTTTTGCCAACCACTGAGCAAGAACGCAAAATGATAATTCAAGCAACGAGTGCCGCGCATCAAGTCAAACACACTCTAGATGCGAAGCAGAGACTCCAGAGGCAAGCCCTCCGTCTGCATCCGAGCAAGACCCCCAATGAACACACGGTGATTGCAGCAATGCTTGAGAAACCCAGCGCGGTCTCACCTCTCAAACGACACCAGATCATGGGATTTCGGATGTCACGCGCAATGTTCGCTGGAGTCGCTGTGACAAGCTTGCCCTCTCTGGTGACGCCATACTCCAGGATCCGGTGTCGGCACGCCCCTCACACGCCTGGTGGCCCCCCGTAAGGAGGCTCCACCGAAGGCCCCGCAGCAGGGTCCACACGGCGGACCCGCACCCATTTCGGCACACCCCTCGCACGCCCCTTGGCTCCATAGGGACCTGCCCCTCCTTCGTCCGGCCTGCATTGCGGCACTCGCGCCCGCATATGGCTGGGTCCTTTGCCTGGGTAATTTGTCGGGGGGGCGCGAGACGTCAGGGCGCCAAAACAATGGCCCAACATCGCTTCAAGAGGGCATCCGGTGATCCAAGATGGATGGCATCCAGGGCAGCTCGAGATAGCCGAGGATGGTTCAACGTAGGTCCCAAGTGCTCTCGGAACCCCCTCGGGGCCCCCAGCAGGCCCAAATCCATCGAACAGCTCAGGAACATCAATGATGTTTGCCTTCTCGCCGTTTCGCTTCCGATGCGTTTATGAGGCCCCGGAATGGCCCCAATATGGCCCAAAAGAGCCACACAAAGGAGCCCAAGAGGCCCCCCGCACGACCCAAGAGAGCCCCCGCAGGCGAATTCGAGCGCCCCAGAGGGGACAAAAGCTAATCGGGGATCCCCCTTTCCTTTGATCGATAGCCTCCCATGTGGCCTCAACAGTCCCTCCAGGGCTCCCAAGAGGGCCCCAAAAGGGCACCAAAAAAGCTTAGAGGGCCCCGAAACGGCCCCCAGACGAACCCAAGAGCGTCCAGGAGCGCCCCAACAACGTCCCGCGAGGGCCCCAACAGGCGGCCTGCCTCCGCCTCCTTTTCCCCTTCCCTCTTCGGCCCAGGGATGGCCCGAAGAGGTCCTCCAACGCCACCCCCCTTGCTCCCAGAGATCTGTCTGTTCATCCCGTCAGTTCTCGTGGGCCTTTTTTTCTGAAATGGATGGTGGAGATGCTTTTTGGTTCGCGGGCTCGCGAAGCAGGTCCAAAGCCAGGCAGAGCTAGGGCGGGCCGCGCCGAAGGAAAGAGAAAAACATAAAGAAACGGGCTCAGCGTCCAAAATGGCGCAGGAACTGGCACTGGCAGACCGGCACTGGGACCACGTGCGCAAGAGTGCCAGTAGGACGCGGGTGTGAAGCGGTGTGGAAGAGCGACACTACACCAGGGAGGGTGACGTCACGGGATGCACGTTCCGAAACAGGTGACCGAGAGCGCCACGAACACCCAGCACACGATGGTGACAAGAGAGAGAGAGAGAGAGAGAAAAAAAAAAAAAAAAAGAAGAAAGACATAAAGAAAGAAAGAAAGGAACAAATGGCGTCCATAGGCCTGTGCCCCAGGTAACTTGCCGAACGCGGAGTCCTGACCCAAAGGCCTTCACGACGTGGAACGAGCAAACGAGCCAGGGGGAACAGCGTGAACGCCCCCGAGACAGGCGGGCGTGATCAACGCAATAGCAGCGTCAAGCGGGTGCCGAGGAGGTAAACGGCCTCCAGGTCACCGAATAGGGCGCGTAGACGAACGGCGACGCGTGGAGAGGTCCAGCACCGCGAGGAGGGGCGGCAAAGATACGCGACATCCGCGACGAAATCCTGGCTGGAGCGCGCCCCAGGACAGGTGTGGAGGGCCGATTTTGAAGAGGACGACGAGGATGCCAACGACGAGGAGGCGGCGGACGGAGATGGGGCGGGGGAGGAGGCCAAGAGGAGCAGCCACCCGAGGGCGCGGGAACACCACTCGGCTCTGATCCGCCACCGCGTCGCGCGGCACGTGTCTGCCGCTCCAGGCCCAGTCCGCGATCTCGTTCTCGTGTGACCCGCGCTGGGCGTGAGTTCGTGGGAGCGATCAGTGGGAAGGGAGAGGGAAGGAGGAGAAGGAGGAGGAGGAGGAGGAGGACGACGAGGAGGAGGAGGAGGAGGAGGCGAGGAGGAGGAGGAGGAGGGGAGGGGGGGGGGGGGGGGCGGGGGCAAGGCGCAAACCCTCGGGCCCCGAAGGCTCCCTTTTTTGGGGGGGCCTGAGGGGCCCCTCCACAGGGGGTCATGCAGGGTGGCCCGTTCTCTTCTGCAGCCCTCGCTGCCCCGCCCCTTTCTGCCCCTCCCCCCCCAGCAAGCCCCGCCCCCCCCAGTAAGCCCAGTAAGCCCCCCCCCCAGTAAGCCCCGCCCCTTATGCCCCCCCCCCCAAGGAAGCCCCGCCTCACTCTCGACCCCTCCCCGAGGGCGGGCCGCTCCGGCCCTGAGCTCTCGAGACCAGCCTCCAGGAGCCGTACGGGCTGCGACCGGCAGGCCGCCCCGATCTGCGATCCGTTCGGGGACCTGGACGTCTGGGCTCCTTGGCCCTTGTCCTCAGGCGGCCGCCACACTCGTTTGAGCAGGGACCGACCGTCCCGGCAGTCTTCTAGTCCTACCACGAAGTGTTCTCAGAATCCAAGCATGTTCAACGAACAAAAGCAATGCTCTCAGAGCATTCACCCGATGTGTTAAAGCAAGGCAGCCTCAGCGAGAAACGCTCTAAGAACATGCCACATGCAGACCACGAGCGGTTCTTAGGTAGAACACTCTTTGGTGGGCCTATAGGCGAGCCAGGACGCTTCGCCACTGCTTGACTCATCGCCCCACCCCAGCACGCGACGCCCAACCGCTTGGGCGTGGCTAAATGATGGGGTCATAAATGGGGGGGTCAGAAACGGTCACCTTTCGTGCCCCTTTCGGGCCCCTCTGGAGCCCCAGGGGGCTCGTTTGGGTACCGTTTGGGTACCTTCTCGGACCACCCGCGCCCCCTCCCCCCCCCCATGTATGACGCCTCCATTACGCAACGCCAAGACTGCGGCCTTCGCACTGCTCTCCGGCAACGCTCGCAAGTCTGCGGGAAGGCGGGGGGGGGCGTCGGGCGACCGCCCCCGCTTGCCCAGCCTGGCCGCGCGCCCTGGCCCTTTGGGCCAACGGGCCGGTGCCTGTACGCCCCCCTGGGCCTAAGTCGGGCACGTCCCTCTACAGGAGGAACACTTGTTCAAAAGCAGCCCCAAAAAATAATGGGACGATGTTTCTAATCTGTTTCAACTTTGTTTTGGCATGTTCAGACTAGTTTTGAACTTTCGCCCAAACTGCGCCTGTAGGGTGACATGCCCGACCTGACCCTGGGCAGGCCAGGAGGGCGTGCGGCAGGTTTGTGCCGTGCCGGCTTCGGCGCTGGTTTCTGACACCGCGGGGATGATCGCTCCTCCACCCTGGAACGGTCGGCGGTTCCCCAAACGCCGGATCGTTCAACATCGACCGGCTCTGGGTCACCAGCAGCTGTGCGCCGTTGAACGCCTGCGGCGGGGCCGCCGCCGGTCGACACGACGCGAACCTGCGGTACGCACCGACCCTGCGCCCGGGATGCGCCTGACCAGGGTCGGCAGAGCGGGCAGCCGGCGTCGCCCGAGGCTTCTCCTGGAGCTGTGGGCAGGCGCGGGCCCTCCACCGCAGGCAAGAGCCGAGGTGCCCGGGAGGAGACGGCAGAGACCGGGGCCAAGTGGACGGGAGTTGCCCACTGGGACAGAACGGCACCACCCTGGCAGGCCCCACGAAGGAGACGAGGTCTCATCTGGAGGGGGAAGAGGAGGAGGAGGAGGGCGAGGAGGGAGAGGGCACGAGCAGCACCTGAGTGCTGCACGTTGCGCAACTGGCTCCAAGCAGCGCGACAGCGAGGGACAACTGAGGGGGGCCACGCACCGATCCAGGAAATCCACGCGTCCCGAAGTTTTTCTGGCGCCCACGCCCCCGGCGCGCTCATCTCAAGCGCGCACGCCTCCCAGCACATCCACACCCCGTCTCGAGCCGGCGTCGAGGAGGATGGCGTATCATCAGCAGGGAGAAGCCCACGGCATGGATTATCCTCTAAGTCGGGCGCGTCTGGTACAAACCTGCTTATCCAAGTCGGCTGCGTCTTGACATGTACGCTGCGGCGCCCAGAGCTGCAACGACAGCAAAGAGAGGCAGCATCTGTTTCATGTTTCGCTTCCAGCTCACGAGTGCCGATACGACAGGCTCGACCACATCGAACATAGCAGTCCGCTGTCCATGAGAATCCACCACGATGGTCATGGTGGTAAAGTAAGCCAAGACCGCGGCAGCATCCAGCAGCACATGCTCGCCGCCAGACCTCCGCAAAGCAGCGGTGGCCTCCTTCACTCGCAGCCCGGGCTGCCCTGGATGCACTCTGTCGGCCGCGAGAGCCTCGGCAAGCTCGACCAACTCGCTTCTGCACGGAAGCTCAGCAGAACTAAACCCTGACGTCAGATGTGAAGCGATCCGATGCGACTTGTGTCAGAAAGAACAGTGGACCGCACCGGCATACGTCGCCGCCGTCAGCTCCACGTCGGATCTTCCCAGGCTGCGGCCAGAGGGCACTGGGGCCGACATGTTCCGGACATCGGCGAGAGGAACGTACATAGCCTCCTGCCACGCCAGCTGGTGCAACATGCTCAGGGGGGCGGGAGTGAGCTTGCTGAACGGATTCATGGGATTCGTGAATGCCGCCCATTCCGACGGAGATTGCCCGACCTTCTCCAGCCCTGTCGCCACGATCTGCGACTTCATTACCTGGAAGCCCCACGCGTAGCTCGTCCTCCCGAGCCCGCCGCAGCAGAACTCGGACACGCACCGGAAGAGCGGCTGCCCCTCTGTTGCTGGAGGCAGCGGCGGCATGCGCTCGCCGATGGCGGTGTAGAACTTCCGCACACCGACGACTCCAGCTACCACTGCCACGAGCTCGGAGAGGCAGGCGACCCGCTCGTCGTGCTCGCCGTGGAACTCGCCCAGGGCGCTCAGCTCCGCAGAGAGCTTCTGGGCGGCCGACTCGTACCACTCGGCGTCCAGGAGCTCCTGGAGGTTCGACACGCAGTACACCACGCAACCCAGGGCGCCGGAACCTAACCGGAGGACTTTGCACGTGACACCTGCAACGATCCCGGCCAAGCCTATCCTGCTCAGGCATTGGCAAAACTGGGTTTAATGGAACCTGGTTTAGTGATGTGTACCGGGGGGCGCCCCCCCCGCCCCGTTCCGCTAACCGGAACTGCCGTCACCCGAAAACCACCAGTTACGGCAAACCTGGTTTAGTGAATCTGGCCAATTGAGGGGCCCCAGGGCCCCACCACGAACCGGGTCCCCTTCCCCGGGGTCCTGGCCATCCCCGACCTGCGCCAGGTGTCGGCCAGGCCAGGACCGGTGCAGGTGCACAGTTGGCGTCCCCCTGCCGGTGCACTCCAGGCCCAGGCCCTCCACCCGCTGCAGGAGCTCCGGCCCGCCGCCCTGCCGGAAGCCGACGTCCGGGGGGCACTCGGCGGCGCGAGCGGCCTCGCGCGCGATCGCGGCCCGCCTGGCGCCGGAGAGGAAGTCACCTGGCCCCGTCAGCCGCTGCAAGAAGAGCTCGCAGGCCGCATCCAGCTCGGCTCGCCTTGCCCTCGTGGCCCCCATCGCTCCGCGGATGCACCCAGGGCGTCGCCGGGCGGACCGCGCCGAGGGTCAGTGCCCGGCAGCGAGCTGGTAACAGTGCCTGCTCAGACCTTGAACCAGCAGTACAGCCAATTCGCTTGAGCAGCAAAGGCCGCGATCTCCCAGTAATGCGCCATCGCGGAAAATGCCGTGACGGCCCCCTGCGGGGTACTCTCTCGACTTTCTGCTTGGGCAGAGTGAAAACATCGCCTGCAGAGGAACTCAACCCTCAGCTGCTGCATGTGAGCTTCGTGATGTACATCGCTGTGCACATGCCTTTGTTGGTTAGTTGGGACATTTGGCATTCGGAGCCCTGGGGGGGGTCCAGGGTGAACTTTCGTTGGAGGATAGACCATCCGAGGAATCCCAAACATCCGATCGAAATCGTATGGCCACAAAAATTGTCACCCGATCAATGCTCGGCATCCCGTCAAATCCGGAGGTTTGGGGCTCCCTGGTAGATTGCTGTCGGAGAATGGAAAATAACAGGAATCCCAAATTCCATTTGAAATCATTTGGTTTCTGAAATTACCACCCAAGGAATCCCAAACATCTCGATGAAATCGCAGGTTTCGGTGCCCCTCGTGCCTGCGGGATGGTTCACAAGTTTTGGGCCTCCTCTGGGGGGGAAGCACCGTTTTCATCTTCCACAGTGCGCTGCCCTTGGGCGTCAGCCAGCTTAGCAGCCAGGGCGCGCTCGCCAACGAAGTCGAACAGAATGCGCGATCAAACGTCGGGTGAATCTGTAAGCAAGGAAGGGAAGGGAAGGCATGAGGAGGACAACAAGAAAAACACCAGCAAAGGACGAGATGATGGAGAAGGGAAGAAAAAGGGCGCTACAACATCGTGAAGAAAGAGGGTGATGAATGGGTGCAGGAGGGGAGCTGTCCATACAGACCATAGCCCCCGCAATTGCAGATGAGAGTACAGGAGCGGCCAGGTAACGCTAGCGCGTGCTCAAGCGTGTTTGACCAGCGAGCTAACGCATGCCTGTTCAACTCATCCCAACTTGCAAGATCTCAGGGCCGCGAGAAAAAAGATGCGCAGCGCGGGCAATTCGACCGCAGACTTGGTGCTGATCATGTTCGCCAGCAGCGGCACCGTTTAAAACCTCAGAGGCGCGAGCCCCTTGAAGTAACCCTTAACATCTAACTCTCTGGCGTGGCGGTAGCCCATGGTCCATTGCTGGTAAGTGAAGAGGCCGCTGAAGCGCAGCGCCCACTGGTACTGAATGTGACCGCCAACAGTTGGCGTAAGCCAATAGAGCCGCTCGGCTGCATACCTTTCTGTCGGTAACAGAGCATCCATGATGCCAACATTCCACATCGAGTACACGTGGTTCCACGGCCAACGCCGATCACCGTTGATAATGTGCGGTGGCGCAGTCGTTCGAAATCGGCCCGTGATCCACTGCACCGTATAGTCCACGAAGCAATAAAGTGAAAAAGGGTTGACGCCGTCTGAACAGAACTGCCCGCGGTGTACACGACATGGCACCGGGGACACCACTCCAAACACGTTGCTCGCCGCGACTGCCGCGGCCACGAAGTCCTCCCTGGACTCAAATGCGGTCTTCGCCTCTGCCACGAGATTGGGCACAGGGCGCATGCTGATCCTCCGCAGGCCGCAGACGACACGACCGCCTTCGGCCGGGAAGGCGTCTTCTCCGAGGCCCGCATTTGTACACATCCAGCGCTTGGGGAAACAATGCCCTGGGACCACAGGAGGCTGATGATCTGGACATGGTTAGTCTCAGACCCCTGGGGGGGCCCAAGATATCCAGGCCTTAATGGGCCCTGGAAACGACAGGGCCGTTTTTTTACCGGTTCCGTTTTGCAGTTTTTTTGCGGGTTCCGACGCCGTTTTTTTTTACCGGTTCCGTCGCCGTTTTTTGACCGGTTCTGGCTCCGGTTCGAATCCTGGAGTCGTTTTTTTGCTGTTCCCTGTGGCCGTTTTTTTGCTGTTTCCATTTTCAAAGGACACTGTTTTGAAAACGGTGAAAAAACGGCCCTGCCGTTTCCGTGGCCCACTGACACAGATCCAGGCTCACTGCCCCCTCGGGTCCTGGGACGTCGGCTTCCGATGCGCTGGACGCGTGCGAACTCTGGCGTCGGAACTTCGGGCACGAGCAGCTGCAGCAGATCCTTCAGAACAGGGGCGGTCCTGCCCCAAAAGGCCATGGGGTGCCGAAAAATTGGCGCGAGCGTCTGTTCAATCAGTCCGTAAGCATCCCTCGCATGTGCGCGCACGGCCTCCCGAGTCGACCCGGCTCGCTCCAGAAACAGCATCATCGCTGCGCACGAAGCCCCTGAAGAGGTGCACACGATCCGTGCTCCGCTCGTGTCATACTTCTCGCATATGTACTGTGTCATCCCCAACTGCCAAAAGATGTACGCACAAGTTCCTGGAATGACCAATGTCGGTGCTGGGTTTGGCGGCAATCGGTGTCGCTGCCGGCGCCCGACCAAGTTTATCAGCGCAGCTGATGTTTCAGCGAAGGTATTGTACGCGGTGAACAATAATAGAAAAGGAAACTGGAACGTGACTACTACAGCGACCCGCAGCATGCCTTGGAATTGCTGCCACAGGGTGAAGCGCTGATAACAAGTTGCAATGCCAGACGCGTCGTCCACTGTGTGGCACTGACGCAGATCTCGCGACACACTTTCGAGCAATGCCCCGTGCTCAGCCATTGACACTGAAATGAAAAGATAGCGCTTGCTCTCACTTCGAAACCAAAGTATCTACGGACGCCAACCAGGGTCTCTGTAGATTATCCTCGCGTAGTTTCGAAACCAACAATTGTTCCATACACACCGCCTGGGAGATCGATCTCTGGCACGCCCGCCAAGCGCTGGATACATGTGTACATGTCAAAATGAGGGTGCCCAACGGTCGTTTGCTGTGACTGGGCGCGTGGCTGGAATGAGGTTTCGCGGGGTGGGGTTCGTCGTTTTTGTTGCGTTTGTTGTGCGTTGTTTGTTGTCGTCGTCCCCCCCGCGACTCGGCCTTCGACCCATCGGCGGCCCGCCTGTACCCCCCCCCGCGACCCCCCCCGCGACCCACCCGTGACTCACCCCGCGACCCACCCCGCGACCCACCCGCGACCCGGCCCGCGAAACATCCGCGACCCACCCGCGACCCACCCAGGACCTGGCCCGCGACCCATCCGCGAAAAAAACTGCGCCTGCGTCGGGGTCGTTGTATATTGTACAAAAATCGAACGCCTGTGGCGGGCTGGTCCCCGCCGACCCCTCGCTCTTGTCCGCAACTGCGGGGCATTACGTGCACAGTCGACCCGTACCATAAGGGTGCAGGATAAAAATGCAAAGGCCTTGGAAGGCCGTTTCGAAGCTTGTCGGGCGGGGCGCGGCCAGCCAAAGTGGCCAAGGATGGACCGAGGGGGCAAGGATGCAAGAATATCCGGGGGGAAACTTCCCATCCTTAGTATGCGAGCTGACTTTATACACAGATGCATCTACACCTCCCCCCCGATGACCTGAACATGTCTCATTTTTCTTTATATACCCACAACATGCCGAAGTCCCAGCAAATCGGCCCCCCACCAGTGGTGATGGACAAATTCTCGCCCTTGGCCGATCTGTTTCAGCTGGGGGGGGGGGGTACGACCCGCATCAAACGATCCCTTGCGGGCCACTCTCGCGCGTCGGCCGCGCGCGCATGTCGAACTCTTTTTGTTTTCCAAACCTTCATCACCGACGCGAAGACGCCGTCATCATCGTCGGCGTGATCAACATCGGCGTCGTAATTTGCCCTGCCGTCGTCATCGCCACCATCGTCGCCATCATCGATACTCTCAAAATCGTGTCAACCGCTGTCGGCGTCGCCATGATACTGCGGCCGCTCAATTCACCGACTCGCACTGAAGTGCCCGTTGAGCAATGCCCAACTGTCAGCGCCACCACGGCCGCGTCGGTCGCGCCAAACTAGCTGGCCGTTGTGCGCGCGCATGCGCGGGCTGGCGCGGCCGCAGAGATGCACCAGCCAACACCAACAACTCATCACAATCGCCTCCGCACGATTTGCAGAACACGTTGCAAGCTTGTGGGTGGGATGATTGCGCGAGCAGTAAAGCTGACAACTTCAAATTGAGCACTGGTGGCTTGCATCACATGAAATGCACTTCGTAGATTGCTCAACTTAGGCTCTCCCGAAAAATAATGGGATCGACCCCCCCCTCCGGAATTAACCGCTACCCTTTTCGTCTAGCAATGTGTACGCGATTCTGCCTAATTTTCCATACAACCGATGAATTCGTATACTCCCAGGCCACACACAAAAAAACAATGCGCGCGCTGGCTTTTCAAAAACCATCAGTTGGCAATTACCCCTTGCATATTATGAAACGAAGTGCGCGCGCGTTTCGTCGCGCGCGCATGCCGAGATCTGTCAACATTCTCAGGCTTCCGAAAGATATCATCGGAATGGGGTGACCCGAAAGCACAGAAGAACAACAAATGAGTTTGCAACACTGATATTCAAAAACCGTTTGCGCTCGTACTCTTGAACTTTGCTTTCAAAAAGAAACATGGTTTCCAACATCCGGATAATATGCTACCAGATGGGCCTCGTTTGTACGCGTGTCGAAATCGCTCGAACACCCCTCAGCGCGGGCTGTCGCAAGAACCACTTATGGGACGACGTGCGCACGCGCGCGTCGTCGCGCGCGCATGCTGGAATCATTCGAAAACCGTAGGTTTCGGAAGGATGTCGGAATCAACTGCCCCGACAGCACATTACAAGAACATGGTTTTGCAACGCCTGTTTCCCGCTCTTGAGGTTTGCACTATTTACATTTGTTTGTCCAAACGGGCCTTTCGCGCCGCATGCCGACATCATTCGAAAGCGTTTGCGCGCGTGCTGGGGGAGGGCAAGACACTTGTCAGATAAAATCATGAGGACCACTCTCGCGTGCACGCCGCGCGCGCATGTCGAACTCCTTCCAAAACCTGCATCACCGACGCGAGGGCACCGTCATCGTCGCCGGCGTGACCAGCATCGGCGCAGTCACTGGCCGCGCCGTCGCCGTTGTCATCATCGTCACCAGCGTCGCTGATATTATCATCGTGCCTACTTTTGTCGACGTTGCCATGGAAGTGACCGACTGGCACTGAAGTGCCCGCTGGGAAATGCCCAGCGGTCAGCGCCACCGCGGCCGCGTTGGTCGCGCCAAACTAGCTGGCCGCTGCGCGCGCGCATGCGCGGGTTGGCGCGGCCACAGAGATGCACCAGCCAACACAAAAGTACGCACCGCAATCGCCGCCGCATGTGTTTTGCAAAACTCGTTGCGGGTGGGTGGGTGGGTGGGCTGGTTGCGCGAGCAGTGAAATTGACAACTGCGAACTCCACAAGCGAACTGCATCACATAGAGAGCTCCACCTATACTGGACCACATGTAACGCTCCACGTAGAATGAAGCACATATATTGGCCAACGTAGATAGCACCACATCGGTTACTAGAAGCAGATCGCTTGGGGCCCATGCGGATTAGCAGAAGTTACTGTTTGGGGTCCGCGATGGCTAAGATGTTTTCAATCCTGGCGTCGTCCTGTATCTCGGCCTCCGGAGGCCGCTGCTGGGCCAGAAGGGCCCAGGGCAGGTTGGTCGCAGTGATGACGGTCCTGCACCGCGTTCAAAGCCAAGGCGAACTGCGAGCATTACGGTGTGGAACAGGCGAGGGCGGCCGCGGAGGACGGAACTCAGAGGAAGGGGCCCACGGAAAAAGGGCGAGGGCCCACGGGGCCACACATTCAAACAAGACAAACAAGTCCGCAACAGGTCTGGCTAGCCTGCTCCTCTGGCCTTTTGCCGTGATGGCCCCCGGGAGGGGGGCGGGGTCGAAAACTGACGATGCGCGGCGTCGGCCCCCCAAGCCCCAAGCCGTCCGCTGTATCTCGTCGGCCGACCATGAAGGGGCCCCAGGACACACAAATAAATACACACAAATAAACATTTTCCCCATATTGTCCCACATGTTCTGGGTTTCCGTCTTCCTCCCCACTCCCCATATTTCCCCATATTTTCTGAAGAATCGAGGATTCATTGTGTCTGTGTGTTTTTTCCTCTCCTGAGACCAGCCGCCCCCGTGCGCTCCGGAGCTGCGCTGTCACCGTGGACGGCCCCGGGGCCCCGACTGCCGGCCGCCCTGGGCCACAGACTGGAGAGGCGAGATGCACACGGCCGCCACCGCCCTGCCGCGGCGCTGGAGGCCCAGGCTTCCGCTTCTCCCCCAGGATGGCCCGGGTACGCCCTGCTACTTTGAAGGTCGGGTCGGGCGAAAGGGTGGGATAGCAAAGGGGGGGGTTTGAGAATCAGCTCACGTAGCTGATTCTCCCGGCGCCTCCCGGCGCCGGAGGCGACATTGTATCGAGGAATGGGCCCCTCGGTGGGGCTGAAACCAGCTGCATGCAGCAGATTTCGTAACCCCCCCTTTCCCAATCCCCCCCTTTCGTCTGGCCCGAGAAGGGGGGCGGGGGCCCCTGGTGCTCCGCTGCCGGCGCAGGCGGGCACGCGACGCAAGATCTGGACGTCAGCCTGGGGGGGGCCACAAGAGCCGCGGCCCGCGAGGGAGCCGGGCGCGGGGCGTGACCGAGGGGCGCCTGCGGGAGAGGTCCAGGTTACGACTGAGGAGAAGGTCTTTTTTTTCGCACGTCATTTTTGTCACACATAGGCAAAGCACCCCGCAATCCTCCCAGGCTGGTGGATGGGCTGGCCTGGGGTGTGAGCGAACCTGTCGCAACGAACAGGAGGGAGATGAGGAGGAGACGGGGGAACTAGGAGAAGGAGAGGCAAGGGGGGAGGAGGTCGGGGGAGGAGGCGGTATGAGGAGGCGGAGGAGGAGGAGGGGAATGAGAATGACCCGTGTAAGCCCAAGACCCACCAACGAAAGTGCAATAGAACCTCCATTGAGATTCCCTCTTCATGGGCCATCATAAAGATATATTTATACTGGGGCAAATGCCCTGTTCGAAGACAACGTCGGAAAACAACCCGAACCGTGCTAAAACAACATTCCTTGGACTTCGACGCCACGAATCACTGTTACTGCTGCGTCCTGACGATCCTGAACCGTGCCAGGGCACCCTTCCTGGGACTCAACACCGCGAACCGACGCCACTGCTGCACCCTGACGATCCTACACCGTGCCAAAACATCAGATCATACAAATCCTTGAACGACTTGCGCACTGTCCAAAAATGTGCGTGGTGCGAAGGACAGAACGAAACCTTGAAAACCTCCCGCCCTACATCCGTGGCACGCTTGCAAATATTTGAAAAGAATGTGCGCGGCGCGAAGGCGAGAACCACATGTTGAAGACCGCCCGCCCCCCCAAGCCGTGAAACTCTTGCGAATCTCAAGCTTCTCAGGCGAAACGCCCAGCCCGCCCTACCGAAGGTCTCGGGATACGACGGGGAGGTCCCAATTGAAAGGAAGAGGAATGGACGGGGCAGGACGGGAAGGAGGGGGGCGGAGGAGGCCGAGGAGCGGCAGGCAGGGGCAGGAGGAGGAACAGAGCCAGGCCGAGGAGCGGGAGGTGGACACGGCGGGAGGCGCAGGTGCGTGCGGGAGTGCGGCGGGGGTGGAGCAGGGGAGGACGAGGACTGCACACCGACTCCGCTCTTGACCTGGCCAAAAACCT